GGGAGGGTAACTGGTTTATCATTCACTTGTTGAAAAACATAACCTCAATGCTTTCATGCCAGGAGATGACCTTGTTGTGTTGCCATGACAACGTGTCACTCAGGATGCCCCACATGCCACAGCTCCTCCAGCTGCTTCCAGATCCACACAAAAACACACAAACGTGTTCTGTTTGTCCGTTAATTAAAGTTCTTTACTGTCACTGGTTCAGAAAGTCAACAGGAAGTTTCTTGAAAAAAATCATGATTTATGTGTTCTCTTCACACTGACATGGTATCAGTACTACACAACCAGTACTATTAAAAACCTATGATGAAGGAGAATACGCGACTTATTTGCTCTCACTATACTAAGTTGTTTTGAAACAATTTCCAGAGCTCAAACGTTGAAAAAAAATTCAAATCTTTTTGTCCACTTAAATTTGAGTACAACAGTTTTCCAATATTTTTACTATTTTCCTCAAACTGACATAAACCAATATTTCTCCGCAACTTTCTGGATAAGTATAGTGTACAAAAATATATATTTTATATTTTATAATATACACATACAATCCCCAAAATTGTAACGGAATCTGATCCACATAACCACTAGAGGCAGTGTACTGTACGTACTCAAGTGGTACACGTACCATAGCTTGAGAACCACCAACTTAAAAAAAAAACTAGTACTTGTAAGTACTTGTGGAGAACATAAACTCCACAGTACTTATAAAGTACTTTAACTGCAGGGCAGATTCAACAACGTTCTTTGCCACAGTAGTTTGAATAGTAATTTACAGCCTGATTTCTTACATCTGGTCTACAGTAGCATATGAAAAAAAAGGAAAGGTAAATGGAGGACATCAGCTGTATTTAATTACCATGGAAAATCTTCTCCTCCTGGACTTGAAACCTGATCCAAACCTAATGTTCCAGGACTTTTATCACTGCGTGTTTTCCTCCAGGCCTGGCAGAGACGATCACGATCACGATCGCTGCTGTATTTGTTTTGGTTCTAAAGTCAAATATACAGTTGATGGTTGCTATGCGAGTTGCCCAAAGACATGATTATGTAATTTTTGAAACAGCTGTGAGAGTCACGCCTGAGACCCAAAGGTTTGTCGGCTCGATTCCTGTTTATCAAATTATCACTGATGGCGTTGAGCATTAATGGCAGAGTTCAAAACAGGCTCGAGGGAAGTTTACAGTTGCTACAAACAGACAGTGTTCCACTGGTCTCCTAACAACACTTGACTCTGTTTGATTAAACAAAGATTAAAAAAGATTAGCAGTCAGATTAAAAGATTAAGAGATTAAAAGATGCTGCGTGAAGGCCACAGGATCTATGCTCGGGCTTTGTGTGTTTTCCTTCGACAAAAGACTTTTGGCAGTCAGATGGAAACGTGAGACGATGAAAGGCTGTCAAAGACTTAATAACTGATCTCAAAGGTACAGCCCGCGGCCCTGTTCCAGCCCACAGCTAGTCTTTATCAAGTTTTTTTTTTCACTGAATTAAAGATGAATGTATCTGAAAAGTCTATATGGAGGCTGTCTGCAGGAAGACACACTTTACTCTGTGGGCTAGGCTTCAATTACAGCTGCATGCCATTGTGTCCTTGGGTAAGAACCTCAAACTAATGCTACAATCAAACGTTGTCTATCAGGTGATTATCACAGGCCCAGGTACAAGTTGTAACTGCACTCTTTATGAGATAAACGCTGTACTTCAACTTATACTTGTTTATAAACAGTTTCAACACAGTACTTTAATAAAGTAAAAATATATGTAATATATGTAAAAAAAATAGCGTCATTAGTTACTGTTTGGTAAAACAGTAACTAATAACAGTATTAGGGTAGTACAATGCCAATATTAGTGTAGTACACAGTATACAGACATATCAGTCACTGTTCGGAGTTCCATTTTTGCTCAAATAAATGAGTGATAAAATTAATTGAACCACAATTGTACAGTTGTTTTCTAAAGAAAACAATGAACCAATGAAAATGTGTGTGGTCATGTTTTTCTGTTGTGTTCATAACTTCATAACACCAGCAGCAGCTCCCGCTGACTGACCCCAATGTTGCGCCATACTTCTTACATCAGTGACTTTGTTTTTCTTCCCTTACGTAACTCCACATCCAGGTTTGATGGGCCTTTTATGTACACTTTGTGTGCGCGCGTGTGTTGTTGTAAATGAAAAGATGGGGAGGGGCGCACTCCGTCCAGGAGACACATCCTCACTGGCTTTATTTACTGCTATAGTCATAATACGCCAATATCATCGCAGTGCAAACACTTAGTATAAAATATCATCTTTAACAAAATGTACATTCACATAAAACATCTGAATAAATACATCTTTAACAAAAAACAACTTGACAAATATATGATCATTCAATAATTTATCTCTGAAAAAAGATTCTACAATATACAATAATAGCTGGTAATACATATGACAATTAAAACCCGTATAATACAGTATGAAAATATCCAATTTACAAGAAAATAATATTGTACATAACTCAATCCCGTCCACAACTTTCTAATAATTCTTCTCAAAGCAAGTGTATAAAACTCCATATTTACCCATTTAGAAACCTAAAGTTGACTCGGAATCCATCAATACAGTAGGAAGTACAACAACATCATTGCAGTCAGGATAAAGTCTGTAAAAGAAAACTTCTTTATAAACAAACACTTGCCATCTGTTTTTTGTTTTTTTCAAATCAGTACAAAACTGTCGACCAACAGTTGGAAACGGTACAAACGCAAGCATTCAGACCAAAGGAATAAAGTACTGTCACTGTAGCTGCACAGTTAGATGCGGCTACAGCTCCAAAACCGACAGTTTGATATGTTTATGAAAATAGGTTGGCACATTTGATAAACCAGCTACCTGTTGACCAGAGCAGGAGCAGGGGAGAAAGGAGAGAAGGGTCAGAGGGTGGGGGGGCGGGAGAAGCAGAGGAAGAAACAGGAAAAACTCCTGGTCTGACGTCAAATGATCCTGAAGTTTGTCCTCGAAGAAGAGTTCACATACCAAAGTGACCAGAAAGACACGGGTTCCAAAGAGAAAATAGAAAAAAAGGGTCCTTACATTCAGGAGGACTGCTACCTTCAGCGCATGCATGAGGACTATAATAAACCTGTGTCTGCTGCACAGCCTGCGCTAATGTTTCAACACAGCATGCATGTAAAAGCCACAGGCTCGCAGGCAGTGCATGCTATAACACATTAGAGAAGACTTAACGGCTGTGGTTAGCCTCGCTGTTCATTAGCATGCTATACCATAAAATATATCATCTGGATTTAAGTGAGGGAACCAGACACGAGGCTCGGCGAGACCCCCTCATCTTGACCCAAGAAATTTTCATGTCATAAAAATAGAAGAACAGAGTATTAGAACAATAGAAAATATCACCTATTAAACAAGCACACGAGAAAAAAAGAAAACGGGGTTTCTTTGTCCAAAAAAAAAAAAAAAAAAAACTTCCTGAAGAGGGAAGTCACACTCACACAATACAGAAAATTTGTTTTTTGTAAGTCATGCTTCCACCCTACAGAGATACAGACTGGTGTGGCTAGCTACGCACACACTGTTGGCTACATACACTATCAGGTCAAAAATATGAGCCCGCTGGTTACAGCGGGGGAGAGGGGGGGCTGAGAGAAGAGACGGACCGCTTTATTGCTACACTTGGACGAGGAAGAATCTGGAAGTCAAGCATCACAGGGAGATAGACAGCAGACGGGACAGACAGCCAGTCTTCATCTTCATCATCATCATCATCATCATCATCATCATCAACTGAGGGAGACATGTTTTTCAATCCATCGTACTTTTGATCGACAAATCAAGAAGCATGAAGAGATAAACTACTATCTGCACACACGGACCTGATGTCACAGAGCCACCTTTTCCTAATTGGCTCAAAATATCCTTACAATAGCAACGCAACATGTTAGAATCACAGTCCAGACAAAACATCACAGATTTTTTGTTTTTTTTTTTTGGGAGGGGGGTTTAGTTCTTTTTTTAACTTCATGCTAAATATATTCTCACAAATGCTGACCAATGAAACCAAAAAACAGATGCGATATTAGCTTTTTAAACTGACCTTCAGGCTAGCCATTGACATAGTGGTTACAGGAGCCTGACAGCGCACTCTAGAGGTTTACTTTGTGACACCAGGGACTACTGCAGACAGTAGGGTACTCTTGATCTTTTTGGAACCACGTGTTTGCTTCTATGACCTGTAAACAGCAGCACTCTATCGTAAAACAGTTAGACATTTCCTCTAAAAGACACTGAACCCCCAGCCCCCCAGCCCCGCTCAGGGAACCTTGTTCTGTCACTGGGGTTTCAACCAAGAAAAGGGGAAAACAACGTTCTGTCATCACAAACCTGGCAATGCCACATAGCTAAACTCATAGGCTAAACTTTCTAAAATATGTCTGCTTAACCCAAAATAATTTTAAAAACAAATCAGTAGAGGATCTGAAAGGCAAAAAAATAAATAAAAATGGCAGGAAACTGGATGCGAGGAGTTGTTGCTGTGAGGCAATTGCTCTGATTTGGTTTTACAATGGGGATTAGCTTAGCTGTTGTCGGAGGATACGTTTGAGGCTTGAATGCTACAGCACCTGTTGTGCATTTGAATGTGTTTAAATCTTGATGCTGATTTCTAGTTTAGGGGAGGCAACTCTAAAACCCTGGAGTCATCCTTGGCCTTTGACTGATTACAGAGCAACATGGCTGAAACCTCTTATATCCTGGATGAGACGCCTCAGAGAGAGAAGCAGCAGACAGTGCCGGAGTAAAGAGTTGGAGGGGGATTGGAGTCGGCGCGACCCCAGACTCTGTGGTCATTCCTAAATTCAATGTAGACCCTTGTTTTTTTTCCTGCCACGGGCAATTAGTGTGCACCGACAAGAGTTCTTAAAAACGTTCCCTCCTCCACTCCAATTTTCGGGGTTCCTACGTTCAGACGGTTTTCTGTCACACCATAGCTGACGGGACGGAGGGCAAGAACCTGGAGGTGCTGGTGGAAGTGGTCGCTTTGACCAGACCAGGGCTTGGGGTCCTGATGGTAGCATAGGTGGTGACGGTTGGAGCAGGACTCAGCCTGGTGCACACACTACCGTGGTTGAACACACTGGGGCGCCGCTCAGTGCCGACCGGCTCCTGCAGCTGGGCGTGAGCCAGCTTTTTGCCTTGTTTGCGTCCCTCCAGGAAGTATGTCAGCATCTGACCTTTTCCCTTCACGCTGACCTGGCCACGGCACACAAAGTCATAATGGTCGGCAATCAGACGATAAACATCTTCAGTCACCTGGAGAGGAAACACAGAGGTAGAATAATGATGGTAGAAGGCAGAGTGGATGTAGATGTGTAGAGTGAGTCACATCAGGACAAAGATTTAAAACAGGGAAACGCACACAACGACTTGAGAGGAAGTCAGTGACCGGGTCGGGTCAACAGCTGGTCAACTGCAGTAATGTACCTGTATCTTTCCTTGTACTCCAGTACTGTCCATCCTGCTGGCCACGTTCACCGTGTTTCCCCAGATGTCATACTGAGGCCTGCGGGCTCCGATGACTCCAGCTACCACGGGGCCCACGTTAATACCTGCAATAATTCCACAACTGTGTTATCAAAGCCATATTTCTTTTTTAATGACAGATACTTAAGACATGACGTTAAACTTCTGCTTCACATCTAAAGCTGATTCACTGCTGAAATATTCTGACTGACAGGAAGTGAACGGGCTCGTCTTCAATGTGATCGCGATACGCACGCTTCTCCTGCTTTAACGTGTCTGAGACAAGTCTATGTCTTCAAAGTGTTACCACATAATTTGCATATCATTAATGGGAAACGGTCGACTTCCTAAAATTCTAAATGTATCTCCTAAAACATATATATATATATAAATATATATATATAAATGTAAAACTTATGGAATTGTCAACAAAGATTATACAAACCTATGTATATGAACTTGAATGCATCTCTGATGATGATGATGATGATGATGATGATGATGATGATGATGATGATGATGATGGCGTTGATGATGATGATGATGAAAGTGACGATGACGATAAAAAGACGATTTTTTTAATACACATTTTGACTTTTTTGAGTAGTGATCATTTTTTCTTGTTTTTGTTTTTTTTATATTTTTTGGTTTGTCTGTGGTCTGTCTGTGGTTTGTCTGTGACTGTTGATAAGTCACCGCACACTTCTCTTTCTTTTCCCATCCCCTCCACACCAACAAATTTGAGATGACTCCAGAAAGTTGTTGAAGTACATACGATACTTCATGTCTTTTTCTGTATTACCGAAAACGACCGTTAACAGTGTGTATTTATATGGATTTGCAGACCACTGTTATACACCATGGTTCGAAGCATTGCTTTGAATACGCCTCTGAAGTAACTGCATAAGCCATCACATGTTGCAGTTGAGTAAACCAACCTGCCAGGCTACAATTAACGCAATTAAAGCAGCAACTTTCGTTTCTTCTGCGCATGAATGAATCACATCAATTTGACCCATTACACAAAAATGACCAAAAGTCGTGTTTCTGCACCTCGGTTCCAGTCAAACACACAAACACATGCAATATTTTCACACTTGGACCACTTCAGTCCGCAGACAGGATGGCACTGTGTACACCAGGCTACAGTGGGATTAAACAAGGGCTCCCGTCGCAGGCTCCCCACAGGATACCCAACACAATAGACCCCAGAACTCCAGGTCTCGTTGTGACGAGCTTCCTGGAGAGGCAATGCTCTTTTCTGTGATGCATTTCCTGCCAAATTTACTGGCATTGAGTGCCGGCAGTGTCTAGCGCACAAATAGGTCAGAATCTCCGACACTGGTGTTTATATAGTCATTGTGAGTTTCTTCTCACTCACCTATTCTCAGGACAAAGTCGTTGTAGGACTGGTAGTTGATGGCGTCCAGGATGTCAAACATCTCAATGGCAAAATCTGAGACTGTGCATAAATGTGAGGCAATCGACTTCTTTACCTGGGAAACGGCAAGAAAACATGAGCAAGTTACCAACTTTATCTTCTGACATGTTCATAGGGTTCAAGCACGAGAGCTGAGAAAATACAAGAACTTAGTCCATTTCTGGGTTTATTAGCATTAGCATACAGCATTTCTCGGAACAATCCACTACACCCAACATGAATTGGCTTTCTTTCGACACCATGTCACTTAATAGGGAAAGTGAATTATTTGTCATTGTGACACAGCACACCACTGCACACACAATGAAATGTGTGAAATCTCCAAAGTGAGCAGTGTGTGGGGACGGTGCCATGCTCAGAGCCTGAACCACCAACCCACCACTTCCCCAGATTAGTCTTTCCCTTCTAAACCCATGACATTGGGCAGGGGTGTCCACACTTTGTTTTTTTTTTTGGCTTGGGAGCTCCTACTCAAATGATCAGGTCAAAGGGATCTACCTAGATTAAAAAAATATATATGTACTCATAAATTGAACATATGCTATACTGTATACACATTAAACGTTGGGGACTGATTGTATTGTGTAATTGTATTGAACAATATGAAGCAATTCTAACAGGACACTGTCATTACCGTTGAATTATATTTATATTTTTATTTTATTGCTCATGATCTACCAGCACTCCCTCTGCGATCTGCTGGTAGACACCTCAGATTGACCCCAGGGGCTTAAGAGGTTGGACTGATAAAACACAGATTCCACAGATTTTAGAGAAGGTGACAGGGTCCATGGCCATGACATGTGATGCCTTCATTATTTGCATGCGTAATGATCCCGAACACAGAGAAAAGCTGGCAAGAGTTGGTACAGGTTTGCCAGAAGTTGTGCAGAAGTTGCAGAATGGACTATTTTGTCAATCGGATTTGCGGGACTCAAAGAAGGCTAATGTATGCAGGATATCCTGACGTCACAGCGGCTGCTAATCCCTCAAAGAGGATTTGTGGAGGAAAACGTGACAGCGTTTTAAATGTCAACACCTACACTTCAGCTAAATGGAAGGACTAGGCCCCTGAGGAATTCACAGTGTTAATTCCGAAACAGTTTTTCGAATGCACTGATACGACCCCTCAGTATCTGAGTAGGGCAGATGTAAACTTTCATCTACCTTGGAGACAGTTGTAGGAACCAGCCCTACTGCAGCCATGTACGTGCTGCCGATGGTCTTGATTTTCTCGATGTCTCTGTAACACTCTTTATCCATCAGCTGATGAGAGAAGAGGACCAGAAGAAGAACCAAAAATGAGAAGACATTTTAGGGTACTGTTGAAGAACCAAAAATGAGAAGACATTTTAAGGTACTGTTTTTTTGTTTTTGTTTTTCCAGTTGAACTAACTAAAACAAATTAAATGTATTCATTGTTAATATTGCACCAAAGCTTTTCTAATTCCCAATTTGAAGAGCGTTCAAAGCCTTAATCACCTCATCAAAGTCAGCGATGATCTCATTGAGGAGCCTTAGACACTCCACGCCCATGTTGTTCCCATCCAGCTCGATGTAGAAGTCGTTGAAGTTTGCGATGGAGGCGAACAGAACTCCAACCTGAGTGTAGGACTGGTAGTACAGGTCCTGGACAAGGAAGAGGTTCAAGTTTATTCACAACAACCTTGATCTGCCGATGCAGGAGAGACTAGTCGAGACAGGAACCCCCTAACTTAAAACGCCAAGGTTTGAAAAACTTTAGGGGAGAATATGATCTCATGTCAGTATATGTACAATATACACAATAATATAGTTTTCATAAAAATGTCAAAAAATTAAAAAACTGGGAATGTAAAAAAAATACATTTGTTAATTATACATAAATGTATATGTAAATGTGTATTTATGTGCATGTAATGTATATGTAAATGTATGTATGCAACCATGTAGTTAATGGCGCCTCCTGTGGCTGCGTGTGTCGATTGCAAACACTAAATCTTCTCATTGTTGGACAAATATGGGACTTTATTATAATTATTATTATTATTATTATTATTATGAACATTTCCTTGTGATATTTTACAAGACAAAAAGAAAAGTAAAAACTAAAATAATAAAGCTGTAGAGTCCCTGGGATCAACAAATGTAAATGACTGGAGGGTGAAGCCCCGCCCACTCCCAGGTTAACGATGTAGCTGCTAATGAGAACGGCTTCTTAGTTGCAGTCGTTCCGCTCCCATTTGTTATGATTACAACGTACGTAGATGAACTTTGACCCACAGGAAAACGAGGGGAAGCTTGTCTATACACTGTAGCTCTATGGGGTCAGCAGTGTGCCGGGAACACACTTCCTGTTCCCACTAGCTACTGGTCTGAGCCTCAGATGATCCCTGCACCCACTGAGGCACAGCTCACCGATGCACAAGGGATAGGAACCTGTTTTATTTTACGATTACTGTAACGTTCGTTTCAGCCTTGTAAAAATCTGAGCAAACAATGGTTTCCGTGACTGTTGTGTCTATACTGCACACTTCAAAGAAGGTTGTTCTTTTTGTCTCTGTGCAAAGTTTTGTCCAAAAAACAAATCTGTTTGTTTGGTTGTTGTATTGTTTGTCTGAAACACGGCTGATGTAAATGGCAGCCTAGTAAATAATGATGACATTTCTCAGAACTAAATTAAAAAAATATTTAAATCCATAATTTTCAGTAAAATCATGTCCTGGAGCTGAAACTCTTTGTCTTTTAACAGTTTCAATGACACATTAATCGTGAGATTGTAATGCGGTTCTAGGTTTATGCGTCAGAGGTTGTAAATCTAACCTCACCCTCCTTCTCCCCCATGACGACTTCTGAGTATAAGTTTCATAGAATTCGAGGAACTTTATTGGTCCCTGGAGATAAAATTAAAGTGTGCAGGCCAATCATACAAACATGTCAAAAGTTTAAAATTTGTGGCAGAAAATTGAAGAAATAAGATATTGTGTAAACTGCACTCATTCAGTGATAATTATTTCAAGTTCTGTCTTTGTTCATTTCAGTAAAAGTACAACTATGAACTATGAGGATTCATTCATGACCTAAAATTAGTTCCATTTGGATTAGACCTGGGCTTTAATGTGGTAATTAGCAATGCACACATTACAGCACAGTAGGTGGCAGTAATGCACCGTACCTTTGCCTGCCACAAAAAAGATGACCAGGATGAAGTGATGGACGACAAACGCAGTGTCTAGCATGGTGCAGGGAGTTTTTAACATTAGCTGCAACAGTCCTGGTACAGACACCAGAGCTAATGTCAACTTCTCCATTGGGGGGCCATGTCTTTAAACCAAGTTACAATCCAAGCAGGTCCACATGAGCAGCAGTCCATATCCTGATCCACAGGCCACAGGATGTGTGTTTTCATCACTTCCTGGGGAGTGGGTGCAGGGGAGAGGAGGGGAGTAAAGGGGGCCAGAGGAAGGAACAGAGATCAGTGGAAGAGGATGTCCATCCATCAGTGGCTGGGGTCAGCTCACATGTCCATTTTAACACCACAACACACGGCCGTGGAGGCAGTGGCTTTGTTCAGATCAGAGGGGTTATTTTCCCACATGTAGACCTCCCTTCGACCCCCAAACACTGGAGTCAGAAATAACCAAACAGTGACCATGGTACTGATTATGGTCTTTCATTGTCCTAAAAACGTTTTTATATATATATATATATATATATAAAAATAAATGATGACTGAATGTATGGTTTTTGAACCCCTTTCTAATGTACTGTATTTCTAAAATACTTGCTGTAACATTCTTAGTGGGAAAAGGGGTATGTGCTGGGGTGTGTGTGTGTGTGTGGGGGGGGGGTCGAGACCACAGCTCGAGTCTTCTTTTGGGAAGATTTTCTTCAGGATTGATGGGGTGTTATGAGGACATTCTAAGTGTGTTTTCATAGAAAGGATGTTGACACTACAGGAGGAAAGACCAGGATTTTTTTCCAACCCTGGAGCTGTAACCAGGTGCTTCAGTGCCTGGATGAACTAGTCAGGAAGTGGTTATCATCAGCCTCATTTTCTTCATTTCTAACAAAAGTGCCACAAGTAATTAAAATCCTCACTCTTTGAAATGCATGTCTGCAGACATGTAAATAAGGAATTTGGCTCCAGAACTGGGAGCTTACACATATCTGTGGTTTGAGAAACGTTAAAGGAACGTAGGCTGTTAATCCTCAATGCGACTTAGACGGTCCTAAAATGATACAAGTGGATTTTTTTTTTAAAAGAACTTATAAGTAAAGTTTTGATGAGTTGTGGTTTTTGAAATGTGTCTTTGTCAAACATAACTTAAATTATTACTGTAGTGAATGGACCGACTTAGGACTGCTCAGACTCTGATGGATGTGAGGGGATTCAATGGAGGTGATCAGTTTCTATCTTGAGCTCCAACCTTAGAAAACTCTACTTCTGTTGTTTACGTTGAGAAGTCATTTCAAGATTAGGTTTTTATGATTACAAAGCGTTTATGCCTAAATACGCTAATGCTAAAATGTTATGTTAATATGCTAATGCCCATTTTCTTTATGTGATTTTTTCACTGCATATCAAACCTATTTGAGTACTAACAGTAAAAGTTGATCTGAAACTAAAGGTCAAAGGTCACAAACACTATTTCAGGCTTTTTTGGGGCCTTGTAAAAAGACAGCCGGGCTGCAATCGTGCAACAGGTGGAATTCATTGGATCAGGATTCCATGAATCACAGATAACCTGTGACATAAATTAGGTTTATAAAAAAAAAAACCTTCACTACTGGAACATACGACGAGAACGTCACCTGTCCACCAGAGCGTGCTGTGTTCAAATCTCACGTCATTATTTCTAATCAGATCTGGCTCAGTTTGCACAACCTATTTTTTTTTTAAATACACACTTAGTAACAACATGTAGCAACAACCTAACAGGTTGTTTCACCTCAAGGGATCATTATTGTTATTAACAGTTAACAGCAGAAATCGTTCCAACGCTGAGAAGAGATTCTTAAGTCACAGCCTCACAAGTCGTGGGAGATTTTTATCTGTTGGAAAGTTGGTTTATTAATGAAAGATAATATCAGATGTTAGAGGAATTAAAGAACATTAAGTCTGAAATGTAGATTAATGCTCTAATTGGTTCTTGTCATGTGGGAATTGAAACGTTCATGGAACGTTGTCAACCATGCCTTAAGTGAGTTTCAATCTGCAGTAGTGGCAGAAAAAAAACCTACTTAGTAACAGTGATACACCTGACAAAACTTTTTGTTTTCATTTTAGCACTTAAAAATATATTTTATTCTCAAATTATACTTTTTTCCTTGTATAAAAAATAAAAATAATAACTAAAGAAATTGATAAAAAATAAATTATTTTTTAAGTAATGGTTGAATTCCTCAGTTCTTAAAATCAAATTTTCTTTTTAAATCTATAACTGCGACATGCCTTGCTGCCACTCTCCACTTTATTCTGAACAAACAGTTCAGAACGGAATGTGAAAAATGTCTTTGAATCAACGCCTCACAACAAATACACAAATTAAAGCCCACGAACAAAAAGCAGGAAGGAATTAAATACCTACAAACCTGTCACTTTTCAATTCAGCCCAGTTTCAATCTAAACGTCTAGACATCCTTTGACCTATACATCAACACAGCCCAACCTCACCTCCTGGCTGTGTGGCTGTGTGTGTGTGTGTGTGTGTGTGAGTGTGTCAGGAAGCTGTGGAAATGTTTTGTGTCTACTTTGGAAGGTATTAACTCCCCTCAGGGCTGACGGTTCCTGTCAGAGGGCGAGCCTGGGCACGACTTCAGATTCTCACCATGTTCCTGGGATTCGACATGAGGAAGTGCTGAGCCACATGAGCCGGCAGCAGGTTGAACAGAATCCTCTTGTTGTCCAGCTTCACCTTCTCCATGTCATCTCTCTCCTCCTCCGCCTGGAAACAGGAGCAAAGAACAGAGATGAGGAGGAAAGGAGGACACCATGAATCACTGACACTTGTGCTCCATTGTTTGGAAAACAAAACGGCTCTGTTGCATTTCCAGCCTCAAAGGGAGGTGTAATTGCCCCTTCTCATCACTAGAGGGGGCTAATGATCTACAGACAGCACAAATGGGCCTGTTTCGTTCTAAAAATAGTAACGTTTCAGTCACTTCTCTAGAATTGTACATGTCTGAACACGTCGACATGCACGCGCACACACGTCAAACAAAAAGGCCAGTGTGTGACAATGTCTGTCCTGATGAAAGAAAACAAAAGCCTTTTCTCCTGACAGAGTTCATTGTCCTGAGCTGGTTTTATTTCTGTGTTTTTTTACCTGTTTCATCTGAGTGGAATAGGAAGATAAATGGTTCAGAGTTAAAAAAACAAACAAACAAAAAAAGAAATTCAAGAAAAACCCCATGGCAATCTACCAAACAAAAATCTCACAATGAGTCTATGTAATGATATATAATCATTTGACCTTATAATTTAAAATTTAGCCTGTTTAGTTGAAGATAATGCCGTTAAACTGGCAGGAATTGAAGAAAGACACTCAGAGATCTTCTTCAACAGCTCTGATCATCTTTTTTCAGTTTTCATCTGCTGCCACCTAGCAGAAGAGTATTTAATTGTTCTGCCTTCCATGCTTTGGCGAGCAAAGACGAATGATAGGCAATAAATAAATAATAGTTTTCAGCCCAACTAAGTGAAACTGGATCATTTTCCACAGCACACCTAATGATCTCTCATGGCACACCACGGAAACACTGTCTTAGAGCAACGTTGCTGCTGTAGTCGTATTTCCTCTCTGTTGATTGGCTCTGCTCAGCTGATGACATTTTCTCCGCTGCTCACGTCTCTTTTTGTTATTTAACGTCATGTGACAATGAAATATTGGCTGTTTCAGTTAAGACCCACATGGGCAGCAGACGATGGGCAGCACCACCTGCAGCCCACTGTGTTTACTGGAGTAAATATAAATATGTGTTTGTATCAGTGTTGGAGGTGTTTTTCTAACACACTAACATGTTGTATGTGTGATGGCTTTGTCACCAGTCAAGAGGCTCTTTGGAGCCCACAACTGCCCCCCCACCCCCCACCCCCCATCCCACACAGAGTCCAGAATCATGACGTACAACGTGATGATGATTTTAGTTGAGACTGAGGTCTAATTTAAAAACAAACATCTGAATCTCCACAGAAAGTGAGAGTCCAATTCACACAATTTGGATTTGTGCTGTGACTGTCTGGACCATTAATGACCAAGGTCTCTGTGATGTCATCGATGACTCTGAGTCAAGTCCTGACGCTCGGAGCTCCAGGAAACTCTGAGTACTTCAGTACTTCAGTCTGAAGTACCTGAATCATAAGCCCTTGATATTACTAGTAGCACACTGGCAGTGACTGTGGTAACTGAGTCTCTCACACACACACACACACACACACACACACACTCCTCTCACCTGAGTCGCCCAGAGATAATCCAGTCTCAGTTTCAGGTCCAGTTGTCTGGAATGAAGAGCCAGAGCTCCAGAAAACAACAGAACCGCCAACACTGGGTCGTAACCTCGGGCGTGGAGGAAACCGCCGCTGACACACACAAACACACAGACGCACACATACAGTCAAACGCCATCTTCTAATCAAATTGTGTGTTTTTTTTTTTAATCATGAAACTAAAATCTACGTCTACAGACAGAATGATCCGGACCCTTTTATATATGAATTCCATGCAGAACCACACCACACCCCCACAGCTGAGTCTCACCCCACAGCTTGGCGATAGCCGCTGGACTCCATGACAACGGTGTAGGTGACAGAGAGGAGGAGGAGCAGCAGGATCTTGGGAAGCGAGGACACTCTGAGGTAGGGGACGATGGTGAGGGTTCCAGCCACGCACGACAGCAGCGCGTACGCCATGTTGGTACACACTCTGTCCACCAGGGTGGTGTTGGAGGGTCTGACGGCCAGCGCGTCCACGGGAACGTTCTCCAGCGAGCCACTGGAATTTATCATCACTCTTCCCCACGGAACACATCCCACCTGGAGGGGGAGCGAGGTCGTAGGATTATTGATTAGATTGAAAATATAAAAAAAGCAGAATCAGAATAAATCAGCTGGAACAATGAGTCAAATCATGTTGTTGATCATCAGTTATTAAACAGAAAATTGTGCAACAGCTTGGTGCAAATATGGCTCCACTTCAAAACCATTTCCTCCCTCTTTCCTCATCCTCCGAAGAATCCTCAAAAATCAGTTCTGGTTTGTTTTCACATAACAACACAAACAGTTGATGAAAAAAAAAAACATTAAAAAAACAGGAAACATGGAGTCATATATTTTTAACAGCAGAATACAATTTAAAATATATTTAGGAAATAAAAATATATACTTTAAATATGATAAGAATTAACCAGACTGCCTGCCAGTCACTCTGACCTCAGCAAACTGTTTAAAGAATTCTCTGAAGACATGGCTGAGATGTTAACAAGACGTCAGTGACTTCACAACACAACGACAGCATCATCAGTTCACTGAGTCCAAGTCCAAGTTTGGAGGGAAAATGAGAGAGAGTTAAGAAGCTGTTTTTAGAAGAATAGGACAGATGGATGGGCAGCCTGACAACATGACGTCTCCGCCAACACTGCTGCTGCTGCTGCTGCTGCTGCTGACGGTGGAGGAGTGTAATACTGACACATGGAGTTCAGAGCTCAGAAAGAAAACAACAAAATGAAGTGAATTCACTATGGTGTGAATCAGCTGCCTTTAATGAATACTGTAATAATTGATATGATCTGATATGATAAAAGTATTTCCAATGTCAGTGCAACTGCAGAGACCAGGCTTTTTTTTAATAAAGGACAAAATCTGGGTCGTGGCCCACAGAGGGGGCAGAGGGAGGAGAATCCTCAGATGACATTTGTTTTATCAGTTTGTTTCGAGGTTAATATTCACTTTATTTTTCAAATAAAATGAAACTGTGATTGGACTTTTTAAATTCGTTTTTAAGTTGGGTTTGAAGTTTTAATGGCAGACAGGAGATCACTGGTTCACAGCCCAAAAACCAGATTGAGGTTTGATTGTTCACTCTGAATAAAACGTCAGTGTGAATTTGAGTTTAATTTAATATTTTTTTGTAGCAATTTTCTTTATTCATAACGATTTCAGTTTGTGTTTAATGACATTCTTACCTTATTAATTTTATTTTATACAATATTTGTCTTAGAATTGTTTCTGAGTCACGACAAACATGTGACCTTTTCAGTGTAAAATTAAATGTGTTTTTTCACACACTGAAAAAACAAATATTGCAGCAGACAGTAAAACCCACTTCATACACAGATATTATGGGATGTTCTTACCACACAGGCCTGGCTGACAGAGTAGGTGAGCAGAACCAGGAACACACACAGCACCGTTCGGATCTGGATGGTGAGGCAGCCCGGTTGGCACTAGAACCAGAGGAGAGACGCTGGTTGGTGAGTAGAAGAAGTCGGTCAGAAGATGAAGCACCTGTTCATCTACTGCCACACAGTGGTGAGGACACGCCGTTGATCACGGAGCGTTGAAATAAACGCTCGCTCATTAGAGGAGACGCTGACAGTTCAGTGCTGTGTGATATTTATATAGAGTTTAGATGCGATGAAATCTCCCATCTGCTGACTGTGGGAGGCGCTGTTTATACTTTCAATCCAGATTTTTAAAAGGCCAAATTTACTGTTGAATCAATCAGCGCTGCACTGCCATTAATAGTGTACTGAATTTATTTGTCCAATAAAAACTAGTCTTAAAAAAAGGTTGATCTTATCTTTCAAATCAGTGTTTTCAACCTCAGGGTCGCGACTCTATGTGGGGTCGTCTAGAATTCAAAAGAGTTGCATAAAATGTCTTGTAAAAAAACATGTCATGTAAATGTCTCTGCAAAAGAGTTGCATAAAATGTCTTGTAATTGATTAAAAAAACAGATAAAATATTTTCAATTATTAAGATATTATGAATTAATAATTAATAAATTATGATTGATTATATATTTATGTGTTAATATATGTATGTATGTATATGTGTGTGTGTGTGTGTACAACACTTTGTACTGCAATTGACTTCATAAAGACACTCGGTGCTGCCTCTCAGTGGAGTCGACAGGAGGTGAGAAAGTGACAGAGTGGAAATAGGAGGAGGTCCTCCACCAGTTTCAGAGGAGCAGCTCCCTGCTGGGGGAGATCAGAGAGTCCTACCTGAACACTGGTGAGATGGAGGTACATGACACAGGCCACGTGGAAACACACACACAGCACCAGCAGCAGCAGCACCAGCATCCCCCTGAGGGAGCGGAGGGGAGGAGAGGAGAGAAAAGAAGAAGAGAGGAAAGGTGAGAAAAGAAGAGGAGAGGAGAGAAGATGAATAGAGGAGTAAAAGTATTCGACGCGTTCCCCGTCTTTTTCCTCAGACTGTAGTGAAATCAACTTCCTGTCTAATTGTCTCCCTCTACTCTGCTGAGATCGATCCAATCAAGCTGCGGGAATGAACCCACGGCCGTTGTGTAGTCAGTGTGTGTTTGTGTGCGTCCGTGTGTTTGTACTCACTGCGGGATCATTAGCAGATAGATGAGGCCAAACAGAGCAGCGAGGATCAGAGACAGAACCACGGCGCTGATGAAATAGTCGTCGTAAACCTGCTGATACTGGAACAAACGAAAAAGAATGAGATACTACATACAGAACCTGACATTAGAAGTACTCAATACTTTGGAGATGTTACTCCAGGAAACCACACAATGACAGATTATTAGTGATGTAAAGATTAGGCTCCTCCCCCTTTTTAGTAACAATCTACAAGTAGAAACACCTTCTCAGATGTTTCTGGACACGGAAATCCAGAGTTTGGATGCAAATTAGGCCGTGTTTATTTCTGCTGTGGGTCAGGAGTGATTTCCACTGACCAAGAGGTCACTGATCTGGTCTGGACCAGACTCCTGGTTCTTCAAGGACTCTTGGATTTCAATTAGAGAGAAGAATACAACCCATTTATTGGAGGACAGTGGGGTTGGAATGGAACTGATGAGTCGGATTTAATTAAACTGAATCAGTGACAGAGGTGTAAGAAAATATCGATTTACTGAAATGTCCTGATATTTCATTTCACAATACCATATCGTTATTTTACAGCAATGTAACTTTTTTTTATTACCCTGTCAAATATTCCTGGTGTTGGTTCATTTTTTCCAAATGTGGATCCCTCTGTTCCAATGTCAGTGACCTACGATGGAACAGCGTTGTGTCTTTACTGACAGTTTGACTACAATTACATTGGTGAAAAAAAAACCTCAATATATCGTCGTGCCTATAGCATCACAATATGTCACAATATATTGTATCGTTGTCCCTGTATCATGATACGTATTGTATTGTCAGATTGTTGCCAATCCACAGTACTAGTCAGTGATCTTACACACAAGTTAACAGGGATTGTAAAAAAAAAACCATAACGTCAGTTTTATCAATTTGATGGGTAAGGGAGACAACGAATGTCAGAACGATAAATTCCACACGAGTGGACGTAATGTGTGTTAATGGTTTCAATCAAACGACTGAAATCCCAGATTTATTCTGTTGAAGACGACGGTTTTATTCTTATTATTATTGGACTGAGGTCATAGAGTTCAGGAGCACAGATCAACAGCTTCACCGCAGCACCACAACAGTTTGGTTATTAACAACTGAAAAACATTAAAAGTCTCCAACATTTAATACGGAAAAAATATAATTTATTCAGTTAGAAGAAAAGATAAGAACCAACAAAGAACTCTTATAAGTGTTCATTATTCTGTATTAAAAGATAAGAACCAACAAAGAACTCTTAAAAATAAGTGTTCATTATTCTGTATTTATTTTTAGAAAAATGAGACCTAATTATATTCTTTGATTTTGTTTTTAATTTCTATGATTTTTTTTCCTTTGATTTTGCAGTTGACATCTTTTTTACCTCACAGAGTCTCTCTCTCTCTCCCTCTCTCTCTCTCTCACACACACACACACACACATCCCTGATCCGTGTCTCCTTTATGACTCTACCCACGCACACACAGGAGAAAGATATCACGTGTGCCACTCAGACGTTCCCGAATCATTATCTGAACCCCCTCCTGAGAGGGTGGATGGATTACACACACACACACACACACACATATACACACACACCTCATAGACAACAGGCGTGGGAGACAGGAAAAAAGGAGAATCAGAGGCTGTTCAGCTTGTGTGTGTGTGTGTGTGTGTGTGTGAGATAATAAGATGGGGAATCACGAGGCATGTTAGCGTGTGTGTAATGAGGAAAAGTACAAACTCTATTTGTTCTAATTTGCTCCTCTTTATAGAAATAAATCCAGGCTGGCCTCTGCTGATGTTGGATGTTGGTGCGTGGGTTTCGGCGCAGATTAAACTCAAACTGTGGGGAGATTTAACCACAGTTTCACAGTAATTATGGTAAAGTTTCTTCCCGCAGGTGAACAGAGAACACAGCGACTCAGTGTTTGGCACTTCTAAACTGCTTTATTTCCATGTTTAGCCCCAAGTTTCTGGGTCGATTAAATATCCTGATGTCTTAATCCCTTATCAGTATCACAGAGTCCTGGGTTCGATGCCCAGAGCAACATGCTTGGTGCCTGCTGGGGGCAGCCTGGTAACAGCATATCTGCTGCTAATACAAGAATTTCCCAAATATGGGATCAATAAAGCTCTTTTTTTAACCTAATATGCTAATATTGCTCTACGGAAATCTCAACATAAAACACCTACAATTTCTTTCATTCACATTTTTTTATATTATGTATGTACGAGCCAATCAGACTCTGGCATTCATTTAAATGTTATCATAGGACCTGGACCTGGAGCTGGAGTTGAACGTCATGTTTCAAGTTCTTCCCAGAGTCGATAGCACCATGTTAGCGCAGATGAACTGTTCCTGGACTTTGGATGAAATTCTTTGTTGCTGCATTTTTCAAATGTCTTCTGTGAGTATTTATTTGGTGGAATTCAATCCTACTTCAGTAGCGCTTCTGCTTGTTAACACTCTGAGTGAATGTGTGATGTCATCAAGCAAGTGCGTCGGTGGAATCGGTTCTCAATTCCCATCGTTACTCATCTTGTTATTATGAACAACTGTGAGTCACTCTAACCCAGTCTTTACTCGATGACGTTCACTGTTACCAAACATGCTAACAGCTAACATGTTAGCCACTTTGACCTCTTGGATTTAAACTTGTAAATCTGTGTATGTCTGTGTGTGTGTGTGTGTGTGTGTGTGTGTGTGTGTGTCCTCACCCTGCGCTCCCTGTCTCTGCTCTTGTAGAAGAGAGTGATGCAATTCAGGTCCGACATCTCCGACTCGGTCTGTCGTGCTTCAATGAGTCGCCCAATGTAGCGGTTAACTCGAGTTCCCGGGGATTGCTGCACCGCAGGTGCTGAGAAAGATGTTCGGTTCTTGAACTTCTCTGAGGCCGTCCTCAGCGCCCTCCGCTGTAAAAGCAGCAAAAAAAGAAGGTGTGTAATTGGTCTCCACAGAGTCTTTCATCTTATCATATTTAAAAGTTGAAAAAGAAAATATGACAAAACAAACAGCCAAAAGTTAATAAAGATTCAAATTAGCTAAAAAGCTAAAAATAATTAACAGTAGCCAGACGTGTAGTTATTAACTGAGCAGACAAAGGAAATAAAATATTTTCAAAAATTGAAATTAAAATACAATTAAGGCCATAGGCTGAACTTTAATATAATAAAAAATAAAAATAAATCAGTGTGATTAAATTCTCTGCTCCACAAAGTACAAACCAAAATAACCAGACAATAATCAGTCTGGTTTCAAATATGTTCTAAATGACTCGAGTTTTTGCCAATGTGACGTCTGGAGGCAAATTTATGCAGCTGGGGGGAAAAAATGAGATGACTGTGGGTTAGTTAAAGTCCTGGGTTGATGAGCCATAAGAAATAATGAGGTTTCAGTTTTGTTTAGACTCTGCCGCCGGACGACTGGACTGCTGCTGAGCAGCCGCAGCATTTTTATCCAAATTATCCATAAGTCTGGGAGATTCCAGAGTGAGTACGATTCTCACCCCAGCTTCCTTCCAACTGGAGTTAAATTTAGCCAGTAATCTCCGGACCGTCTCGTCTCACACTCCGAGCCTCCGAGGCTCCAACTCTCTGCAACATCAGCTTTATTACAGACCTTTGTTTTCTTTTTGAGAGCTGCCGCGGCAAAAACACATGTGTAATTAATAACCATAATGGCGGTTGTGTTGCCTTTAAGAGTCCCTGTAAGCCAATGAGAATTCACATGACCCAGGCCCAGAGACCAGAGTAATGCAGCCTTGATTAATGTTTTTAATTACACCTGCGCTCTCCGTCTTTTAACGGCGCTGTCAAAACGTCGGCGGTGGAAAAAGGCCTGTGGCTCAGCAAATCACAGAGTCAGAGAGTGGGAGAGTGCGCTGGTATGTGCCGAGAGTTCACCTCAGTTCAGCTTTAATAAAGTAATGCTTGTTTGTATCTGCGTGTGATTGGGCAGCGTGAAAGTGTGTCCAGATCCAAGGACGGATCAGAGGACACAGGGGAAGGAAGGACAATCAAAGGACTAGGTGATAAATCACAGATCACTTCAACAATTAAAACAATGACCTGGAAATACATCAATATTTAAGAATATTGAATCACTGGAAAAATACTGCTGCAGAGGTATTTTAGGGAGTACAGGGAGTATTAGGTTTGTACTGCACTCTATCCTCTCCCGTCAACAAACGTCACAAACCTCACATTTTGTTTGGCTGCTTGGAATAAAAAGATAATCACGAGGAGTCCTTGACTTACGACCAGTTCTGTTCCTACATCGCAACTCAACTCACTGTGTCGGAGCCATAATGAAGGGCAAAAAGTTCCCAAAAAAGCAACACAAAAGAAACAAAATGTTTGACGTACAACCAGTACATAGAAACAAAGACGTCTCCCTCATACAGCACCTCGTGACAATGTATTCCTACGCTCTGCTCGCCAACTAGTTCCCATGCAAACATGCGGTACATCGGAATGATGGAACACGACATTCTTAAATAAATTTATGGGAGACAAAACCACCAAACACCGTAGGTCGAGGACGTCGTAAACCAAGGACGAACTGTACAGATAGAAGTAAAGATCGAAGAAGATCTCACTTCGATTTTCTATTTTGTACGTTTGTACGTCGTGATGAGTCGTGATGTAATTCCATTAAAACCTTCCTGTGCTTCAAAATAAGGATTGTGACCCTTTGAATGACCATGGTACAGGCTGCCTACGGCTTTGATCTGAGATAATACCAGGCCGTGGGTGATTACCAACAGGAATAATGCAGCCCTATCAGAATCATGAAGAAATCTTGCCCGACCGAGCTCACACGATTGGACGGATTAGAGTCCCGGTGTTATTTGTGACAGCCGGACCCTGATGGAGGTGAAGGAGGAGGAGGCTCCAAGGAGCCGCAACGCTGACCTGAGAACACCAGCAGCTGAGGCTCAAACAGCCTCGGTGGCCTCGCCACTTCACACTGGGGTGGAAATGAATACACTCGCAGAGTGGGCATCATTCAGTAAACACACACACACACACACACACACACACACACACACACTGGAGGCTTAAAAGCAAAGGCTTTACATCAGAAGTCAAACATGAGATCAACTCCACTGGCTTACTGTTCTTCATGTAGTCTAATGTAGGGATACTGCACAGTGTGTGTGTGTGTGTGTGTGTGTGTGTGTGTGTGTGTGTGTGTGTGCGTCCTACTACGTGTGTACAGATTAAGTATTTATGATGGATTTCTCTCCATCACAAATGGAAAAAAAACATTAAAAAGGATTTTTTTCCCTCAACCATTGAACTCAGCAATAACAGCATAACAAAAATTTTAAAAATCACACGCCACTGTATACGACTGTAACAAACACGGGGATAAACTCTGGTTGAACCTCGACTGGAGAATTCACTGTACAGACCCTGAACACGCTGCCAGTGTCATCGGCGTGGACCGCAGGTGAAAAAACCTCGGAACACAGATGGTATTTTTATGATCTGTGACTCACACGGAGGAAACTGAACTTCACAGAGCAGTACTGACACTAGTTCATAACACACTCCGACTGAGTTACCGTCGTTGACCAATAGGAGCCCGGAACAGGCGGCATCTGGACTTCAGTTAGAACATTACCTCGGAACTTGAACCTGACAGTAGGAGGCGCTCTAACAACAAGAACCTCAGCCTGTACAGAACGTAAGGCTGTGATCCCTGGGGGGGGGGATCATGTTTAACACCCCAGTGTTAATCTGTGGTGGAGGTCTCTCAGAGTTCCCAACGTTTTACACTAACAATGAGTGTAACGAACCAGTTCGACACCAAAACTCAAGGTTCATGATCGACTTAGTAATTCTTACAACTTCTGCCTGTCTTTCTTCTGGTTTCATGCCTTCCTTGCAGTGCTGTGGCGCCCCCTGGGGGAGGCACACTTTAGAGCCCCTTTCTGAAATGCAGTGCTGGAGACCCAGACAACAGCCACTCACCTTGTCATCGTCCTCACACGTCATGACGTTGGAGAAGGGGATCTCGGCCTTGAACATCTTCCTGCAGTGCATGAGCTGCACCAGCAGGTAGCAGACCGTCTTGAACTTCATCCTCTTGGCAGGTTTGATGTCGGACAGAATCAGACCTGGAAAAATCTGAGAAGAGAAAGAGATCAGACAGGGGAACAACGGGGAACGCTAACATCACCTGGGGGCGCTGGACACTGAAATATAATGAAATAAATGTCAGCTTTTTGTCTAATGGAATGTAAATAGTGAGGATTAGAGAGTTTTGTTGTGTTTGTTTTCATTTTCTTTATTAGTCGCAGACCAGATAGGGCAGTTTGGTGAGCTGAATTTGGCCTGCGTGCCCCCAGTTGATGATCACTGCTGTAAGGATTTGTTAACGGCATTAAAATAAGTTTTGCTAGTTAAAACAGTGACACGTTGCCCATAAAGTGAAGTAAAATTATGTGGAAGTAAAAAGTTTTTATCGTGAAAGGATTGAAGTGTTAGAAATGACTAAAGAAACCATTATTGTGTGGGTTTAAGCCTATAATCCCTGCAGAACGTGACAGATTATTAAGTGTGTGTGTTTGCACGCTGAGCTTCGCCGCATGTGAGGCTGCTGTGAGATAATGACAGCGGCCATGTGTTCCTCAGCTCCACGCAGAAAATGTCTCTGTGTCTCTGCATCCCAGCATCATCTGCTACGGCGCAGACAGATGTGTCTCCTCTCAGCTGTGGCAGCAGCAGTAGCACAGAGTGTGACAAATGAAAAGACGCCAGGAAAGAAACTGAAGTTTTACCTTGCGTCTGTGCGAGGGCACGATGAAGAACGTCTCGATGTGATGTTTCTGCAGGAAGGCGTGTCTCTCGTGTCCGAAGCCCGGCTCCACCTCGTAGTCTCCGTTCAAACACTCCAGGGTCGTCCTTGTGATGTGCACCTTGCTGTGAGCATGGACAGGGAGCGGAGGACAAAAAGGGAGAAATTGATGAAAGAAGTGGCGCCCAGGTCTCAAATCATTAAGTCCTTCGTTATATTTATCGGCCTCGCAGCACAAAAATGTTTCAACCTAACGACTCATTTAATCTCTGAGCCAGTCCTAAAATCGTAATGACTTCGGTGTCAGTGAGTCAGGGACGTGACCTCATTTCTCTGCTTTTTATATGCAAACCAAAAGGAGATTAGTTTCTATTTTAATGAATAATTACATACATTATTTACAATGACTGGCTCCATCACTTATATAAACTGTTCCTGTCCCATTTTTTATCAAGTCTGTTAAAATGTCAAAAGTACTAAAACATCACAGCTCAGACTTCAATCTCTGTGACCTCAGGTGGCGCTAAAGTGGAACCTGATGCATGTGTTACATTTGAACATTACGAGTTTTTTGGGGTTTTCTTTGTCTTTTTATAGAAGGTTCTAAAATACAATATCTGGCACTAAGAATGTACAATCTTAATTCTGTCCAAAATATATTTTTAGAAAAGTGACATATATCAAGAAGGATTCAGTTTTGTTTTTCTTTTAGCTCAAAAAGCAAAATTAAATAAATAACACTTTCTTACGTCCCTATTTTTTGTGTGATTTTTAATACCAAATATTACTGCATTAAATGTTTTTCAAGGAAATTTCAAGGAGCCTGGATCGCCTTGAGCTGCTTGGACGTGGCTCACGGTTGGACACATCATAAAACCACACTGTGTCTCTGCGTGTTGTATTCACAGTGTGTATGTGTACTGTACTGTACTGTACCACTGAGTACTGACCCAGGCAGCCCTCCCGCTTCCATCACGTTGGCCAGCGTGACATCATTTGACCAGACGTCGTACTGCCATTTCCTGAGGCCCAGAACGCCGCACAGCACGCGTCCTGTGTGGAGACCCACCCGCATGTTGAGATCCACCTCTGTGGCCTCCACCACTGACCTGCAGGCAGAACAGAGTACAGTACAAAGTACTATATTACACTTAATACTTCATTTATGTACAATGACATAAATGATGAGGTAAAAAAACAGTTACTGTTACAGGGAAAGGGTGTTTTTCTCTGATTAATTTGATTTAAGTCAATTAATTAAATCATGTACTGAGCGCACACGCACACACACACACACATCTACGTTCTGGTTTATACATTTCTGGGTGTTTACATTACTGTGTTGTGCTGCAGGGCAGATAAAGCAGGACTTTTCCAAAGTCTCACCCCCTTTACTCCCCCGTTACCAACCACTCACCCATTGTGTAGTGAAGTAAATCACTACACAATGCTCCCCGACACCAGCAGGGGGTCAGACACTTCAGACGAAAGACAGAGTTACGGACAGAGCCGAGGAAGGAAATTGAGAGCAGGGAGCAAACAGTGTGTGTGTGTGTGTGTGTGTGTGTGTGTGTGTGTGTGTTTAAGGGTGAGTTGGGAGTAGAAAAATATAGTAGTCTGCATCAGGGGCCGGAGGAGGAGTGCTGTACACACGCAGACATAGAGAGAGATGAGTGTGCACGGCTGCACCTGTCCTCAGAGATAAAGGAATCCTACAGCGACATCCGTCCACTGAGACGGAGCAGCAGGAGAGAACGTGTCGCAAGGACACAACAGGGAGAAGCTGCTGCTGCTGTGTGTGTAGGAGGACGGAGGGAGGGAGGGAGGGAGGGCTGGGGAGGCAGTGATCCTCACCCACTTCAACTTTGTTAATTGTCTTTGACTGCATACAGTATATTTTCATCATCAGACCTGAGATGTTCAACATTGGGCCTTAAAGCTGTGTTTTATTTTGAAAGGGCTTCACTGGAAATAAGCAAAGGAAAAATAATTTTTATAACAGTCGTGTAGTAGCGAAGATCATTGGGGTAAGAGTGTTTTCCTCAAATGTTTTATTTTCTGGAAATACAATTTTAAACAGTGTACAATTAATGCTAATGCTAATGCTAGTAAGTAACAGCAGCAGTCAACATATCAAGGAATTCTTCTGCCTACCGAGGTTCAGAGGCCACAACCGACGCTCGTTCAACGCAACTGGAACTGCATCAAAAATAAGACAATACCAGAAGGTGGCAGTGTCACACACTCGTGCAGCTAAATCCACTACATTACAGAGAACTTGAAGAAAGACAAAAACTGGAATGCGTGACAGAGAAAAGGAACAGATTGAACTGAGACAGAACAAAGAAGAGCACATGGGAGGGGAGCTAACGAGACACAGGTGAGTGCAATTAGCAACATGTGTGAGCAATCAACCGAGACACGGGGGAGGGACACGGGACAAAGGAGAGGAAGGGACACAGAGAAGTAACAGAGGAGACACCAACACATGAGCTGCCGAGGACGTCACAGAAAACTGCAGTACGCAGAAAACTGCAGTACGACCTGGGCGGGGTCACCAGATGACTTCAGGTCACAGCCTGATATTTGGACTGTGGGGAAAAAAACTGAAGTATCTGAAAAAGTCCACTGATCAACCAACCGTTTTACTGGTCCTGATACAGAGACAAAGCGGATATCAGCACAAGATAGGGGGCGGGGACACACCCTGGACAGTTCTCCATTATAGTCCATTAAAGAGACCAACAACCATGAACGCTTACATTCAGAAGTCTGGTAAATGTACAGCAATCAATTCAATCACCCCCCCCCCCCCCACCCCTATCTGTTTATGGACTGTGGGACTCCACGAGTGCCATGAACCACCGTTTTAAAATGCCAAAGTTGGAGTTCGGGTTTGTGACTCACGCAATCGTGTCAATCATGTCCAGCCCCATTTCTACACAGCAGTGGGCGTGGTCAGCCTTGGGTTGGGTCAGGCCGGACACACAGTAGTAACAGTCGCCCAGGATCTTTATTCTCCTGCAGTGGTTCTCCTGCATGAATATGGGGGCGGGGGGAGAGAGAGAGAGAGGGAGAGGGAGAGAGAGAGGGAGAGAGACATATGTTGATGAACAGATGGTTAAATTTGAATAACCAGGACTGATGTGCTGCTGGTTTTCATGCAGTACATGGTGAAATATGGTGACAGCCGTTCTGTTGATTGTTGACGGACTTGAACGCACCGCCTGGTTGATAAAGAAAGTCAAAGTTGAAAGAAGTGAATATTTTCTGAGGGTTAAATCAGTCGACCTGGGTTAATGACACTGATCTGAAAATGTACACTGTACATCCAGTCAGGATGTAGTACATTGTACTATATGTAAACCCTGATATATGACTGCTTTGTATGTGTGAGTATGTGTGTGTGTGTATGTGTGTGTGTGTATGTGTGGGGGTGTTTGTAGTCCAGGCAAAGTCTAATTGCTCAGACGCTCTTGAAGTAGAAATCCCACCCACACACTCCCAGATAGATGAGCTATTTGTCACAGTGCACGTTCTGCAAAAAGTCCGAGAACACACAGACACACACACACACAGACACACACAGACACACACACAGACACACACACATGATACCACACACACACAGACACACACACAGACACACACACACATGATACCGTTAAAGCACCTTAGTGGCTGCTGCCGTGCCCTCTAAGTGTGTGTATATGAGCAGTGAGTGCCATACTTGGCTGGTGGGTTGGTGTTTGATGATGAAGTCATCAGTTTAAGTAAACTCCAGATGGCCAGGCAGAAAGTAAAACAAGTACCATCTGCTTAGATTCAACCGCTGCTCAACTTCTCCCCTCTCTGCTTCCCATCCTCTCTCCCTCTAAATGAGAACCACATGAGGTGGCATACATACACCCCCCCCCCCACACACACACACACACACACACACCCCGTACACACAAACACTTCCAGGGATTCATGACAACTGCAGGGTGAGAGGCGAAGATGAGAGGAGAGGAGACGGCTGCTCCGTGCTCTGGTTTTCTGCTCACGGGAGCAGAAAGATTCAGGCGTGGGAGGATATGAGAATTCAGAACGTGGATGATTATCCCAGCACTAGGAGGAGAAATGTGTGTCTGTGTGTGTGTGTAAGAGTGTGTGCATGTCTGTAAGGCAAGGAAGGAAGAGAAATGAGAGAAATTATCAGCTGACAGTGAGCCATGTTTCAGGAGGAAGCTATCTGTGTTTTCTGTCGGAGATAAGTGGAGAAACCAGACCAATGACTGGGAACACTTTGTCTAATTGAGGCTAAACTGTGTGTCCCCAGTGAGGCCTAAATGCTTCAGCTACAGTAGTGAGAAGGTTAAGGTCGGGGCGGGCGGGTGTCTGTTATAGTTAAGTTCAGGTTAAACCTGTGGGGAATAAATGTGTTGCACAGTGGTGGCAGCAGTAACAGCAGCAGCAGTAGTAACAGCAGCAGCAGTAACAGCAGCAGCAGTAACAGCAGCAGCAGCAGTAACAGCAGCAGCAGTAACAGCAGCAGCAGTAACAGCAGCAGCAGTAACAGCAGCAGCAGTAACAGCAGCAGCAGTAACAGCAGCAGCAGTAACAGCAGCAGCAGTAACAGCAGCAGCAGTAACAGCAGCAGCAGTAACAGCAGCAGCAGTAACAGCAGCAGCAGTAACAGCAGCAGCAGTAACAGCAGCAGCAGTAACAGCAGCAGCAGTAACAGTCAGACTCAGCAGCTGTGACAGAGCTGGGTTTAAAGTGATTTTTTTCCCCACCCTCATGAAGACAACGGGGTATAAATCTCAATTAAGTCGCAGCTGCTGCAGCATCACACACACACACACATTTACATTTTATATTTTTCCTCATAAGATTTCACTAAGACACTGTGAGACACACACACACACACACATATATATATATTGTTGTTAAGCTTCAAGTGGTTGCTATGATGAAAAATAAACCAGTCTTATAACAGTAATGATTTTCTTACTTATTAGTAATTCATATAACATCAGTCTATGAAGAGACACATTGAAGATCCTTCACCCTGAAGTCAGTGTTGACTTCTCTCCTCTTCACTCACTGAGCCAAATCTGAAAGACTTTAAACATTCACTCTCTTTGTCACGGCTAAATATAGTCTGTTAGTGGCAGAATCTGATCCTCTCTGACCTGACGCTGAGACACACACACACACACCAGTGTGTGTGTGTGTCTCAGCGTGCGCGTGCGCGTGTGTGAGTGTGTGTGTTGAGGCTGTGTCAGTTCTGCTGTACCGTCTGCTGGCAGAATGGATAAAACAACGTTACTAAAAATAACGCAGGTAAACAAGCTGGAATGTGTTTGTGTGTGTGTCAGAGTGTGTGTGTGCGTGTGTGTGTGTCAGAGAGTATGTGTGCGTACTTATTTTCGCTACTTCATTTACAACCTGTTCCTGTTTACACACTGACATTTTCAGGATCACTGGTTCTCATGGAGACCAAAGTCTGCACTAATGAGGCAGAGTCTCCTTTCTCTAATGTTCACCTGGAAACTCAGCAACTCCAACACAAACCTTAACCTGACCAAATGTATCTAAATATATATATATATATATATATATATATATATAACCATAAAATATAACACTAACTAATTCTGATCCTAAAACCCTAACTAACCATCCCACTAATACTAACCATCACCTCACTCTAAATTTACCAATTTTCAAACATCCAAAAGTTAGGGATTCGAACCTTACCTCTTCCTAACTAATTTCCCCCCTGACCTAACCTTACATAGAGTAATCTGACCTAATCTCAACTATCTTCAACTAACCTAATCCTAACATTAACGTCACCTAACCTTAACTACAAGTAACCCCAGTCCCTAACCCTATCCTCTAATCCAGGGGCTGGCAAACTTATGGCTCAGGGTCCAAAACAAGATTCAAAATGTGATTGGTGAGTCGGTTCAGTATTAGTTGGCTGTAGAATGTCGGGCAAAATAATTTAAATAAAATGTACAAGAATAAACTTTCAAAAAGATTCTGGCACATTTATTATCTGCCCTACTGGGAAACAGAAACGCGTGAAACAGAAGGATTGACATCAGTCTTTACCATACTTAGTACTAATGTTTGGCGGGCCAGATTAGAAAGCCCAGCGAGCTGTATCTGGCCCGTGGGCCACAGTTTGTCCTGGTCTGCTTTAATCAAACCCTCCAGTTCTACAGGAGTACAGATTAGAACTGTTTTCATATTACGGTTAAGGTCTAATTTGAGATGGTTGGAGGACAGTAAAGATTAGATCATGTGGCCTTTGACCTTTGACCTTTAACGTTCACTAAATTCATTTCACAAAACAGATATAACATCCAAAGAAGGAAGACCTTCACCTTCCTATCTCCCTGTCAAAAAATCCAATTCACCCACCCTTCCCCACTCGTCCTCAACTCTATCCTTCTCTCTATGTCAGTCAGCCCCACTCTGTCTCTCTCTCTCTCTCTCTCTCTCTCTCTCCCTCCTGATTTACTTCCACTCTTGGATCGATACCCGGCCGTGACATAATAAATGAGCTGCAGCCAGGACTAAATAATACATGCACTCGTCTTGGAGGCTTTTTGTGTTCTGAAAGCGAAGCTCGCCAACTGTGCGCGGTCCCTGACGGCCAGCTCGCCTCCCTATCTGTAGGCTGAGAGTGACCACTCAGTCACACCATTTCATAACAGGAGCTAGAATTTAAATTTAAATTTCTAATCATTTTTCTCGGCCAACTGAGTGCAACCAGCATCTGACTAATCCACGGGTGAGGCTCAAACTAAGGGTCCCGTAAACATCAGTCAGTTTGTTCAATATTGTGAGCTCATCCACTGTGTCCAAAAAGATATAAATACACTTGATTTTGTTTGTTTCTTTACAGCTACCTTGCAGTGATTTCACAATTTCCAGAAAAGACCATCTGTTTCTAAGCATGTGCTCAAATGATTTTTTCTTCTTCTTCATCTCTGTACAAAGTGACAGAGGGCAGAAACTGCTGCTAAATGTCCATGAAATTAAAAGAGTAAAAAACTATATCTTATTCTCTGGATTCAGAGACTAAGAAGAGACAGATAATAATTAGGGATGTCCATTTTGATATAAGCATAATTTAGTCATATCTGTAAAAATCCTTATTGGTTTTTCCTGGGACTGTATGCAGAACGCAGGTGCCATACATTCATACAGTAGTTTGTACAGATAAACAAATACATAAATATTACCAGACGCTCAATGATATTTGAATTCCCCCCTAGGGGGAACGTTGAAGACAATAATTGAGAAACACTGCTTTAGCACCACTGTATCGGTATTAGCTGGTATCTGAATCGGAAATTAAGTGTTTGGACAATATCAGCATATCGGATATCAGTAAAAAGTTAATATCGGACATCCCTAATAAGAAATGTATCGAAAAAACAATTTCCAAAAATTCTCTGAGATGGTACCATTAGCCTGCTGAGCATATCGCACACTCTGGACCTCGATTTTATTTTTAGTCCAGCAGATGCAGCAGGTAGATGTGTTTACAGGAGAAAAGAAAAAAAAAGCTACTGCACACCAGTAGTATTTACAGAGAGAGAGAGGGGGGAGGGGAGAGAGGGGGAGTCAGTGGAGACTGAGAAACATATTCCATATTTCCTTGAACTCAGTTTGAAGAGCGTGTATTGACTTTCTCAGCACAGACACAGGTGAAAGCGGAGGTGAAACCTTACCGTTGCCAGCTCATCAAACTTCCCAAACAGTTCATTCAGGAGTTTGACCAGTTCCTGCGCCGTGCACTGAGAGGCCAGGCTGGTGAAGCCCACGATGTCTGCAAACAGGATGCTGTCAGAACAGAAGAAGAAGAAAAAAAGAATAAGCCCCGAGTGAGGGAGGAATTCATCTGGTCTTGACAGCCTGGCTTAGACTCCGTCTGTTTTTTTGCTATTTTTTCCCCAGTAAATAAACTCTGAACCACAGAAACGGCAGGAAGTGCAGCAACCTTTCTGACACAGAACAGCCGGAGGAAAGGCGACTAATGAAGATCAAAAGGGAAGCGAGCAGAAGTGCCCTAATTCAATCAGTGATAAGTAAAAGCATCTTTTAGGCCAAGCATTACATCAATTACAGTGGAAAATTGCACGCTGCGGGCTAGCTAGCTGCTGTGGCAGCGCCGAGGTGTTGAAAGCTACTTATCTCCTCATTCCTCTGCTGAGGGGCAGGACAACTGGCAGCAAAACAAGGTGTTAAGGATCTTATTGACTCAAGAGGGAGAGCATTTGACTTCCCCGAGAAGTAGAGGATCCACTCAGGGCTGGGGTTCTGAGTGGAGCAAAAAAAAACAAATTAAGAAAAATGGAATCTGTAGTACCAGTTCCAGTACCAGTACCAGTACCAGTACCGGTACCAGTACCAGTACCAGGCTGTGGTTCGTTTAGTACTGGGCCATAGAAAAAAAGCATGACATCATTGGAGCCTCCAGTTTCCAAAACAAACCAAAAAAACCATTACCAGACTAACAGTACGGTTCGTGTTGGGCTCCGGTGGTTTCTTCAGTTAAAGTTTCACTTACATTGTACTGTTTCATTAACAGTTACAGAACTCTATTTTGTCATGATTTTTCACTGGTCTGAATCCTAAGTCATGGGCGTGTCTCCGAGCAGACAGCAGAGGGAGACTTCCCAACTTGGCAGTTGAGCGGCGTTTGGATCTATGCCTCATGATGAAGCTCATTCTCATCCTGCATCGTGACTGGATCATTGTTTCTCTGTTGTGTTCAGCAGAGCCGCGAAGCTGCTGTGGAGCCACGGTCACGACTGCAGTTGGACTGAAGGGCTCGTCATGTGATTTGTCTCCGAACGCAACGCACTGCAGGTTGGGCCATGACGGGGGGAGGAGGAGGGATGAGTAAGGGCAGAGGGGAGTAAAGGGGGGTGGGTTGAAAGAGAGATGAACCAAAGGAGTCACCTGATTCAGCATTTTAGTGGCCAATTAAAGCATCTGTGGGATTTTTTCTTTTTTTCATTTTGGAACATTTTTTTAAGTAGTAGTTGTTTCACTTAAACTTCTCGTTCTCCTCTCCACCCTCGGTGTCAGCTTTATTTATAGATTGATTTACTTCATTTTAATTATTCAGGTCATGGAGTTGATTTGAACAAACATTTCTTTTTAAAAGTTTGCAATTTTTGCTTTGTTCAAAATCACAAAGAAGTTGGACTCATGTTGGTGCGGCAGCAGCAGAGAGATGTTTGGCTGATGGCCAGGGCAGCAGAGAGAAGAAGCTGGGGAACAGCCTCTCTGCCCACGCTCAGCCGAGCTGTGGGAAAGAGGTGGAGCTCATCAGACAGAGAGAGACGGGGAGAGGAAGAGAGAGAGGGAGAGAGAGAGAGGGAGAGGGAGAGAGAGGGAGAGAGAGAGGGAGAGGGTGGAGGATGGTCTCTTGACAGGAGTGCTGTTGACATGTTACCTGGCCCTCCACACCCACTCACAGCAGCAGCCATATATCACTCTCTCTCTCTCTCTCTCTCTCTCTCCTTCTCTCTCTCTCCCCCTCTCGTTGTCTCTCTTTTTCTCGTTACTAACTCGTTGGAATGAAACCAGCTCAGAGTCAGGCCACGTTCTCACGCTCTCTAATATTCTCTCTCTTCAGTACAAGTGGCTCGTGAGTGTCGGCTGTTGAAGCTCATAAAATAATAAAGTCATTTAATTCAATTTGTTTTTTAATCCAGACGTTGTTAAATAATAACACGTGGCACTGCTGTTGTGATGGAATTTACAGAAGCTGAAGGGAAAAGTCCTCCGTGTTTTGGGCTGATCTTCATCTGCACATTAAAGAAAATCTAATCTTAGGTCCAAACTAGTTCATATGTAGTTAGAATATTTTAAACTAACTTGGTGTTTGTTTACAAAGCTAATAGATAGAATTCTTAAAGTTTGCATTACAGAAAGTTATTAAGCTAAGTGTATGATTGACAAAGAACTGAAAAAGCCTGAAACCAGATACAATTTAGACACAGCAATCACCAACATTTAGCCATAAATGGATGTCAAGGCTGAAGTAGCTGCGAGCCAAGAACTTCCTCTCCTCCTTTTCTTCTTTTTCCTCCTTCTGTTCCTTCTCCTCCTTCTAGCCTTTTCCATACCTTAGTTGCCTCAGCGTTAGCATTAAGGGCTAATCTTAATTGCGCTCCTTCTATTCTTGACCTTGACGTCACAGCAGGTGACACCTGGATCAAAGCTCCGCAGGCCCTCGGCCGTCCGCCGTTGTCATGACACCCCCGTACCTGACATTGTCGTGACGTTGGATGTAGATCTTGTGAAAGATCCTCTCAGGCGGCTTCAGGAAGTCCTCCTTCATCTCCATGGCAACATTCCTGGGCAGTAGACTCATTAGCAGACGCTCCTGAGGAGAAGGCGGCGGACGGAGAGGAGGAGGTGAAGGAAGGAGGAGGACAAGGAAGGGAGGAGTTAGAAGTTTTTACTGGTGGAATATGGACAGGAATGTGAAATTTAAAATAAATTCACTGACACATCAGGTCAGTTATATTGGTGTCACACACGTCAATATATATGTATATATTTTTGGAATAGAGTTTGGTTAAGATAGATTATATATTTCATTTTATTATGATTTATATTAAGAAGACAAAATAGAAACAAATTTGTTTTACATTTATTTTAAAAAGCTAAAGTTGATCACAGCACAATTTATATATGTACATACAGTACATACAGTATGTATGTATGTATATATTTATATATACATGTGTATATATGTAAATTAAACTATTTAAATATGATTTTAATATTTTGATTCTGATATTTGTATTCTGTGATTGTATCTTTATTATTTTTAGTTACTACTATAATTCTGAAGATTATTCAAACAAATTCTTACAACCACTCAGACTCACTGGTTCTGAACATTGAGGGCATATTTCTCCTTTATTGTATAAATGTATTACTATTTTTATTACCTTTTTTAATTTTTTATTTTAGAGATAAAATAAATCTGAACTTTTACTCTTTTTTTCTTAGTAGAGAAAATGAGAAAATATGTTGGACTTTCTTATTTTTCTGGACCACAGAGAAGAATCATAAATCCAGTATCTGTTATAGAGCAAAGGAAACTTTGAAGACGTGAAGAAAAAAATCGACAGGAAGTAGAAAAATTAAAAAGGAAACAGCCCACCAGAGTCCTTCCAGCGTGAAAGCACAACAACTGAATTAATCACCTGTCAAACATTTTTCCAATAATTCTCCCTCTAATCAATTATTCAGGTGTGTTTCCCACAACGGCCTGCAGTGGTGCTAGACTAAAGTTAGTTTGAAACTCCAGTCAAATGATCGTGAACGCACAATGAATCACGAGGTGGCTGCCCTGA